AAACCCTAAACCCTAAACCCTAAACCCTTCATGCCCCAAGCTTCGGATGGCAGGGGCCCCGCGGCTTCCAGCCGCGGTGGCTGGGCCGTTGGTACGCCTTGCTGGAGGCCCTGGCTTTGGCCTACTGGCTGGTGCCCCTATATCACCCCTTGAAGGTTTTAGGGTTTAGGGTTTAGGGTTTAGGGTTTAGGGTTTAGGGAGGGCCCTCATTCCCGCATTCCCTACTAAGAACGGTTTTGGCCAAGGGCCTCAAGGGCATTTGGGGTTCAGATTGTTTTGGGGGATTTCGGGTTCAGGGTTTAGTGGTTTATGGTTTAGGGGTTTAGGGTTTAGGGTTTGGGGGTTTAGGGTTCACTGGTTTAGGGGTTTAGGGTTTAGGCTTTAAGGGGCTTAGGCTTCAGGATGGCCCAGTTGTTGCCAGCTTGAGGGGGAATCCTCGGGTGCAGAATCACATGTCAGAGTGCAGGGCTTCGGTTTCGGGTTTAGGGTTTAGGGTTTAGGGCCTGGCTTTTTGCAGGATCCGACGAGCCTAAGCTAGAAACTTAGTGTACAGATCATGATGCGCCGATCTGCCCTGCGACCTAACCGTAAACCCTAAACCTTAAAACCCACTAGCCCTAAGCCCTAAGCTCGAAGCCCTAAACCCTAAGCCCGAAACCCTACCTCCCCTAAGCCCTAACTCCCCTAAGCCCTAAGCCCTAGGCCCCAAGCCCTAAGCCCTAAGCTCTAAGCCCTAAGCCCGAACCCCTAACTCCCCTAAGACCTAAGCCCTAAGGCCTAAGGCCTAAGCCCTGAACGGAAGCCCGGAGATCGGACAAGAGTTGTCATTGCAGACCTTTTTGCCCTGGAGGTCCTTGTGGATGCAAGCCAGCCAGGCAGAGAAATGCATCCCTCGCTCGGTAGGCCCTTTTGGGGCATTCTATATCTTTCCCCTTATTGGGGTTTAGGGTTTAGGGTTTAGGGTCCCTTGCTCGGTAGGCCCTTATTGGGACATTTTGTTTTTTCCCCCTCGTGGCTGTGAGAGGTTCATAATCAAGAATATTCAGAAGGTTTGAAGGAGCATCCTAGCTTGACGGGTTTCGTTCCCTCAGGGGTCCCGAGGCTTGTGGACTTTGCATCCAAGTGTTCCTTTCCAGTTTGCAGCTCGATCGTGCCTCCCTCCTCCAATCCGCCCTAAACCCCTAAACCCCTAAACGCCTACACCCCCAAACCCCTAACCCCTAAATCCTAAACCCTAAGCCCCTAAACCCCTATAAACCCTATAAACCCCTATAAACCCCTATAAACCCCCAAACCCCGAAACCCCCAAACCCCTGAACCCCTGAACCCCTAAACCCCTACACCCTAAACTCCTAACCCCTAAACCCCAAACAAACACCAAGTGAAAGTTCTCGCGCAGGACAGCCGCTTCAGCTGACGCCGTCCCGCAGGTGCAGCGCAGAGAGCGTGTGGGGGGGGGGGGGGGGGGGTTCCCAAAATGGGGTTGTACCCAAAATGGTGTTGTGCCCGGTTAATTTCAGGGGGTTCTAGAGAAAGCTTCGAAAATTTTAGGCCCATGTCTCCACGCAGCTGTACATGTTTCGCACGATTGCTTGTGTCACTTTCCTACGGCAGTGGCTGTTGCACAGTTTGCTCTTTGCTCCTGTTGTTGATGATGATGAGTCTGATAGCGGCGACGATGATGGTCACGGTGTTCATGGTATCATGATGGTGACGACAATGGGGACAGATAGGATTTTGATGACGATGGTGATGCTGATGCTGCCGCTTCTGCTACTGACGACGATGACGGGCATTTTTCAAGGTCCATGATGATTCTGAGTATGATGCGGAGGAGGACGTTGAGCACGACCCTGGATGCCGATGACGATTTTGACGATGATTATGATGGTGATGACGATGGTGACGAGGCTGGGGTTGGGGATGTTGATGGTGATGCTGAGGAGAAGGAGGACGGCGCGAATCACAGGTGACTTCGTGTGATGACGACGATGATGACCAAGATGATGACGATGACGATGTTGACGCTGATCGCGACGATGACGATGAAGATGGCCATGGCGTGACGACGATGATGGCGATGACGATACGACGACGACGACGATGATGATGATGATGATGATGACGATGAGGTGTTGATGATTGATGCCTTTCATTCGGGTGATAAGGAGGGGGGATAAGATGATGCCGACAGCGGCATTCAATATTCTGACGATGACGATGTTGATGTTGTTGCTGCTGGCGGCGGCGGCGGTGGCGCTTCGTTGTCGTGGTCATCGTTGTTGTTGTTCTTCTTGGTGGAAGTGGTTTTTGGTGCCTATGCACTTTGATGTCTGACGTACGCCCTGGCCAGGTGCGCATGGGGACGGTATCTCTTAGAGGACTGCTGACTTCACATGTGCAGACACACCAAAATGCGCTATGCCCGCTATGTCGGATGGAGGCCATGCACAATCTTGTCCGTTCGGGTCCGTTTGGGCAGATGCGGTCAGTAGTCTCGCCGGTCACTTCGAAATAAGCGTGGAGAGAAACACACACTGGGCAGCTGGAACCTCTGACCTGCGCTGACCTGCGCGCATTGCAGGATGTAGGGCATCCGAAGTCTCCTGAGCATTTAGGGTTTAGGGTTAAGGGTTTAGGGTTTCCGTACCCTAAACCCTAACCCTAAACCCTAAACCCTAAACCCCTAAACCCCTAAACCCCTAAACCCTAAACCCTAAACCCTAAACCCTAAACCCTAAACCCCTAAACCCTAAACCCTAAGCCCTAAACCCTTCTGCCTTCGCCCCTCAGCTGAAGGATGCTTCCGAGCCGGATCGTGCCCGGGCGGTGCTGACCTCCCTGAAACCACGGGCGCTGGGAGCTTGGCATGCTTGTGAGGGGCCCTTAGAAGGGACCTTTAGGGGGTTCATTAAGGGTGATTTGGGGGATTATTTAGGCCTTATAAGGGACCTTTGAGGGCTAGTTAAGGGTGATCTAGGGGGTGAGTTAGGCCCTCTTATGAGGGACCTTCGGGGTTTTTTTAGGTGGGTTGTTTAGGGGCTACTTAGGGAAGAAAAAGGGGCTACAATGAGGGGGGGGATCCCTCCTTGGACCCCTGCATGGCCTGTTTGCCTGTTTGAGGGGCCTCGACACTCCTTGCTGGCCCAGTACACCCTTTTGCCCCCCTTTTTGTGATTCTGGGTTACTGGGTTCCTTTGCAACCCTTAAACCCTATAAGCTCCTAGCCCTAAACCCTCAACCCTCTAAGACGCAAAAAAGGACAACCCTCATGATATGAGGGCATCCCAACCGAAAGTTCTCCCGACTCTGATCCGACCCCGAAACAACCGTTTAGCTCGACAGAGCAGCGACAATGAAAACGCCAGGCAACATGTACAGAAAAGCGGGCAGGTACACTATGGTGGCACAGTGTGCTTGGAGGTTCATGGTACTTAGTAACCCAACTACAACTGTACTTATAAGCCAATTATAAACCCAATAGGGTACTTAAGGGGCTTTGAAGTGGGACCCTGAACCTCCAAGTGGGCTTTGCGCTGGTTCATGTTTCTCTGCAAAATTTCGCCACTTGAGGTTGCGCAAGCTGCCGGTTGCGTGCAGCTGTGCGGCGGAGATGCTTGGAGTTTCCGAGGCATGTTCCCGATGCTAGGGCAATTTGCAAGGCGGTAGACTCGGCAGGCTAATTGGGTATGAAGGTGTTTCAGAGCTTAGGGCTTAGCTCAGGGCCTATACCTTATTATTAATTATACCTGACAGTCGTCTGGACATGGCGCTCCCGCACAGGTGACACATGACGCCCACGCGCGCGCCTTGCAGGCCCTTGGGTCCTTCAATCACACGCATCTGTTCAGGAGTAAGCAGGATGAAGTCAGGATGAAGTCCACAAACCCTAAACCCTAAACCCTAAACACAGCGTTATTCATGGACTTCTGGATAGACGGGTGGTTCTCTGAATTAGGTTCCCTTCTTGGGTCCTATGTATCGTACCGGCACTCCTTAATAGAAGGACCCACAAACAAGTACCTGTCATTTAGAGAACTGCCCGATTCAGAGTATTTTTCTGAGGGGCGTTAAAGAGCCAACCTCGATGTTCCGCAGACTTAACCTTCCCTGGGGTAGGTTTGGGGGCCCTACAAGAACTAGATTCTCTTGGGGCTTCAGAAGGAATTCATAGGGGATTGAGGGTCATAAGACTCAAAGTGATGTTCAAACCTACCCCTGCTCTGGCTTTGGTAATTCTCTTTTGGCTTTATAAGGATTTCTAGGGGATTAAGGGTCATAAAAACGAAAAATAATCTTCAAAATCGACCCCTGCTCAGGAGCATGAGGATGTGTCCGCTGGTTCCTTTGGCTGCTGCGCCGTTGGGCCGTATGCACCTCAGCTCGCTGCGCGACTACCCCAAGGCCTAAACCTCTCCGGAGACTGGCTCCCCTGAACCCCATGAACTTTATGTAACTTCGGTGTGTATGTATACATATATATATATAACTATATATGTTTATGTTCAATATAGATATGTATATATGTACCTGTTATGTATATATATATATACATTGATTTCAGGCTGAGTCCAGGCTACTCGTGTCGTACCGACGACGGCCCCCCCTCAACCCTGAATTCTCATCCTCCCCAATCTATCTACTTGTCTTTTCTATCTTTTCTTTACCGCAGAAAACCCGAAAAACCCTCCCGAAACCCGAAACCCGAAACCCGAAACCCGAAACCCTAAACCCTAAACCCTAAACCCACATGGCATCCATGATCGGCATAATGTGGCGGAGAGCGACCTTCGGAGTTCATGTCTGCCCGCATGACGCAGCGTCCTTGCTCGAGGCCGCTGAGCCCCTTCAGGGGGGGTTTAGGGTTTAGGGTTTAGGGTTTAGGGTTTAGGGTTTAGGGTTGAAATAAGTTCAGGTTTAGCTGGGGGTCGATCTGGAGAGTAAGACATGTTCCGCCACAAGGGGCACAAGATCTGGCGGCGACATAGTTGTCGCCCGGGATGGCGAGCCTCACGTGCAATGAGCAGGGAGCGCTGCGCTTGTTTCGGCAGGCGTACCAGGACACTGGCATTGATGTGTGCGCACCTGGACGGTGGTGCGAGCATACTGTTTTGGGTTTAGGGTTTAGGGTTTTACTGTAGAACTATGTATCCCAACTGTCAGGACCTTTGTTGTCCAAGCCTCCCTAAGCAAGACCTAGCTTTTTACTTTAGAGCAGTCTGCGATTCAACAGGGCTTTGTGCGCTGCGTTCTCCAAATAGGAGCATCTACAGAAGACGTCGGGTCATTGTTGCGAGATGACACCTCCTCCTACTTGGCGGTCATGGGCAGTTTGAAGTAGCCCACTCCCCAAAGTACGATTACAAACCATTTGTGTTTCCTCTCTCTCACACACGCACATTCATGCACATGCATCTGTAGGTGTCTAGGCATCGGGGTATGTATGTAGTTGCCCGACTCATTCCTAGCTTTGAACCTCCAAGTAGGAAGGAGTACAAGCAAACCCGAAACCCTAAGCCCTAAACCCTAAACCCTAAACCCCAAACCCTAAACCCTAAACCCTAAGCCCTAGACCCCAAATCTTGAGCTTGCTGAGCTGACCTCCGAGGTACTCACAGCAGGCGGAGCAGACCTATGGGAATGCCAGACATCCGGCTTTCTGTTCTGGAGCCTTTTTAAAGGGTTTAGGGTTTAGGGTTTAGGGTTTAGGGTTTAGGGTTTAGGGTTTAGGGTTTAGGGTTTGCTTGTACTCAAGGGGCGGTATAGAACCTCAGGCTCCCGAATACTCCCTACTACTCCCCAAGGCTCCCTGAGCCTCCCGAAGGTTTTCCCTTAAGAGCCCTATAACCTTACCCAGAGAGCCAAGTACCCTTGCGTTTTTTGGTGTAAACCTAGGAGGTTTAGGGTTAGGGTTTAGGGTTTAGGGTTTAGGGTTTAGGGTTTAGGGTTTAGGGTTTAGGGTTTAGGGTTTAGGGTTTAGGGTTTAGGGTTTAGGGTTTAGGGTTTAGGGTTTATATGAGGAATCTTCCTTCAGGCTCATCGGGGTGCCTGGGAAAGAGCCATCTAAACCGCAGCCTTAGACCTGGAAAGCCTGAAACTCAAACCCTCAAGCCCCCTCGCCTAAATGCCAATCCTACACTCACCCTAAACCCTAAACCCTAAACCCTAAACCCTAAACCCTAAACCCTAAACCCTAAACCCTAAACCCTAAACCCTAAACCCTAAACCCTACCTCAACCCTAAACCCTAAACCCTAAACCCTAAACCCTAAACCCTAAACCCTAAACCCTAAACCCTAAACCCTAAACCCTAAACCCTAAACCCTACAGGAGCTGGACTTACATGGTGAACACTGTCAGCAACCCTCGTCTGCTGCCGGCGAGCGAAGTGGCACGGCAAGGAGGGCTCCGGCTCAAGGCCGGCGGGGCCTTTTCGAGCAGCGCTTGCCGAGTTTAGGGTTTAGGGTTTAGGGTTTAGGGTTTAGGGTTTCAGGGTTATATTCCAGAATCCTACTGCATATACATGGTTAACATTTGTCAATAGGCTAGGGTGTGAAGCCCATAGTAAAGTGAGGGTGGCGAGTGTAAGGGTAGTGGTAGCCTGGTGGTACCCTTTACCCCATTGTTTTTGGGTACTGGGTCCCTTGTAAATTGACAAGCCCCCCCCAAAAAGGGGTGCTCTCATCAGAATATTGTTACTGGGCTACCAAGAGACATGGGGGTCTTTGGGACTTTGGGTTGAGTGTAGTTCGACAATCTACCATCGGTAGGACATTGGGATCTTTTACGCTTGCCCCTATTTCGCTGAAGAAGATGATGTTGTTTAGAGATCTGTTCGCAAAGGGGCTTTGACGGCCAAACCAAGGACTAGATTCTTGGGTTCAAGTGCTTACAGGGTTCTCAAGAGTTGTTGACTGGTTTAGGGCTGATGGGCATGTGCGGTTGAGCATTCTTTTGTGGATTCGGGACCCTCAGCCCCAGAAACCTCAACCGTATTCTTCTCCTGTGGGCCTAAATTTTCCGGGACCCCAAGCCCAAAACCCTAAACCCTAAACCCTAACCCTAAACCCCAAACCCTAAGCCGCAAACCCTCAACACACCCCTAAAGCCCAAAAACACGCCTAGACTCTCGGCAGTCTGCGAGGCACAAGACCTGGAGAGCTTGGTGTGCAGCTTCCTTGTCTCTCGGACTTGAGCGTAGGGCATGGCTCTTTCGGACTTTGCAGCATGATGTGCTTCGGGTTTAGGGTGTAGGGTGTAGGGTGTAGGGTTTAGCGTTTAGGGTTCAGGGTGTAGGGTAGACCCTAGAATCCTTGAAAGGACCTGCTAGACCAGGTTACTAGGATGCCCAGCAGTACGCTTACTCGTTTTTTGGGGGGGGGGGGGGGTGAAGGATTCCCTTCTCAAGCCCCTTTAAGCAAAAAAGGGGGGGGGGGGGGCATCCTCTAGGTTCGGAGGTCCCCGAAGAACCCGATGGTTATTAGGGTTTAGGGTTTAGGGTTTAGGGTTTAGGGACAAATCTACGCCGCTTGGGAAGTTCCGTGGCAAGACGCTGAGGCGACATCCGCGTAGGCTCGCCCAACGCTCCGAGTAGGTTCCGAGTAGGTCGCATGCAGCCTCAGCATACGGTTTGGCCTCAGTCGCCTGCTCACTTTGAAAATACTTCAGGACCCTCACCCGAATCCGCTTCTGAGCCCTAACCTTAAACCCCTCAACCCTCAACCCTAAACCCCGAACCCCCCAACACCCTAACAACCTAAACCATACATAAATGCCAAGCCGAGGTCTACCTGAAGCGCGAGTCTGGCGACCGCTGGGGTAGCCTCCCTGTGGCCCTGGTGGCCGACGAGTTCAGGATTTGGGGTTGAGGGATTTAGGGATTTTGGCTTTAGGGTTTAGGTTTTAAGGGATTATGGGGTTTAAGGTTAGGGTTTATACGGGGATTCGGGTAAGGGTTCTGAAGTCTGGGCCCTTGGGTTGTAGAGGGTATATTAATATAAGTGTGTTTTTTGTATTTGGTCACCAGTTAAGGGCCCATATTCAGGGACAATGCAACTACCCGTTTAGAATCCAAGCCCTAGACCCTGTTAAACCCCGCATCCTAAACCTTAAACTCCATATCCTCGGGTTTAGGGGCAGGTCGAAACTTCATAGCGCCCAAAAGCCGAGAGGACATGGCTGGTGGGAGGCCCGCGCCTAAAGCCGGGAAGGGTGCCTTTGTGCGCACGCGAATGGGCGGATGGGCACCTTACTGGCACCCTGGGCCTCCCAGGGAAATAAGGACCCCCCCAAAAAAAGGTACAGCACCCCTAATTTCGGAAACCCCATTTAGGGCTTTAGATCAAGGGGCGCCCTACTCGCACGGACGTACCCCTAAGAGGTTCCCCTTTTTTTCCCTCCTAATCTGGCCAGTATATTCCCGTAGAGGATCTTTAAGTGGACAGGTTCCCCAAACACTAGGACCTTAGGGTCCCGAGGTAGAGTCCCGTGATTTGGAGGGTTCGAGGTGGTGTTTAGGGTTTGGGGTTCCAGGTTGATAGGCTTTGGGGCGTTGGGAGCCTAGTAGTAGCTGAGGGTGCCCTTGAGATCATTGTGTGGCCCTACAAGCCCTAAACCCTAAAATCCTCAAACCCCAAACCCTAAAGCCCCAACCCCTAAAACCCTAAAACCCAAAAACCCTAAAACCCTAAAACCCTAAAACCCTAAAACCCTAAAACCCTAAAACCCTAAAACCCTAAAACCCTAAAACCCTAAAACCCTAAAACCCTAAACCCCTAAAACCCTAAAACCCGAAAACCCTAAACCCGCACGTCGCTGCTGGATGCCGGCAGCCCAGGCAATTGCGAGATGACCTCATCTCGCGAATCCGCCTGGCTCGTCACTTGCACCTGGGATCATAGTCTCCTTGGGAGCTTAACCCAGAGTAGGCCCTTATTTCCCCTTTTTTGTTGGGTTTGGGTTTCCTTTTAAACCCCTTTAAGCCAAAAAAGGGCACCCTGTTTATTCCCAGGTTACTCCTGGGTCTAGGCTATCTTTTTTGTTTGTACAAGGTTCAAGGGAACATTTACGATATCATTCGGTATTAAGGTTCTAAGGACAGGAGGGTCTACATAGGGTCCGGAGCACGGGGAAGCTGTGAAAACTCACAGTGGCCCTTCAAAGATTAAGGCACGACTCCTGCTTGCACGTGCAGCTGCCCGTGGCGGGTTTCGATCAGAATCGCTTCAAGAACTTGATCCTTGAACCGTAAAGGCTTGTTTTGTGGTTCATAAACCTTTTTTTGGGAGTTATAGGAGTATAGGGTATACGATCATAGATCATAGACCTTATATAATAGCAGTTATAGTAGTATAAGGTACATGATCCCCCAATTTTCCCCAAGGATGTGGCACCTCGAATCGCAGCTGCGCGAGATTCTGGACTTCGCAGACAAGCACCAGAGGCAGCACACCTTCACCGAAAGAATGCAGCGGCTGGCACGGAAGCTGAAGGAGGTGGTCTCCAAAGGCCTACACTTCAGCTACCATGTTTTCCAGCCCCGGCAGACTGATGGGGGCTTCGCCCCCAGCGCTTTCCTTCAGAGCCCTGAGGAGCAAGGCTTTCGTCGCACGGTGTTCGGTCGACTGCTGACCGAGTTCCTGAACGACGCCTGCGTCCGTGAAGCCCTGGACCTGCCACATCTACAAGTCGCCAAGCCATATTTTCCCGTGTTGGAGAGTAGCTTCCAGGCCTTGGAAATGCGCGTACCACATGCGCCCCATACGCCAGACACGCCACACATGCCGTTGCTGGACTCAAGCTGCTCTGCCGCCGGTGCTCCGTCCTCGGTAGTCTCAGCAGAGGACGTTTTAGTGCTAAGCGCGAGCCCTTCGGCGGACCCGCATGCACCTCTGGGCAGCGAGGCTGGCCATTGCCAGCACCTGCGCCTCTGCGTGGAGGATGGAGGCCTTGCAGACACGAAAGTCTGCGGTTTAGGTTCCTTGGTAGCCCAGTGGTACCCTTTACCCCTTTGTGTTGCTCTTACTGTCCCCTTTAAAGTAACCAACCCCAAAAAGGGTGCCCTGATTATAATATGGTTACAAGGAGGGGCCCCTTTACCATACTAGCTAAGGGACTTATCACTTAAGTTAGACTCCTTATAACCCAATTTAGGGCTCTTATAACTCTACTTATAACTCGGGGGCCCCTCCTTGTACTGGGCTACCCAGGTTCCGAGCAGATGCACAAAGTGGCACTGCACATCGGCCGACTCCTGACAGCCCTCTCGGCGATGAGCCGATGCTGCTGCTTCTTCTCCAGGCAGGCCGACATGCTCCTTGGTAGCCCAGGGTTTAGGGTTTAGGGTTTAGGGTTAGGGTTTAGGGTTTAGGGCTTAGGGTTTAGGGTTTTGGGTTTTGGGTTTTGGGTTTTGGGTTTAGGGAGCTAGGTCGCCCAGTGGTACCCTTTACCCTTTTTTTAGGTTCTGGGTTCCCTTATACAGCAACCAACCCTTATTCTAAGATGGTTACTGGGCTACTCAGGTTCACAGGGTTTGGGAGGCTCTTCCTGACGGATGCGAGCGTGAAGGGCATGTTCGACAACTTCCTGGACCTGCTGCGCAGCAGCTCGAAAAGTGCCAGCGCCGAGCTTGCGGCGCTCACGGCTGCAGCCGAGCTGGCTTACAACAAGGTGAAAGGTTGCTTTTTTAAAGGATGAGGGGACTTCGTAAGTAGGGTGATCATTATCGGGCAGCTATAGATGCAAGTACTTATAATTTAACCCAATTAGGGTACTTATAGCCCTACTTCCTAAGGTCCCATGATCCTGAAAGTGCCAATCTCGTTCTACAGTAGTTAGCCAGTAGCTAGCCTTGCAAGCTCTTCTCTCCTTTGTCCTTTGTTTACAAACATACCGACTGCCTCTCTTACAGTACCCTCCGCACAGGTGACAGTCAATGCGTCGAGGCCTCCACGAGGTCATCAGTCAACCTGGGTCCAGAACTACCAGTTTCTTACTAGCTGAGTCAGTACACTTTACACTTTTTAGGATACCATAACCCCTATAGAACTGAAAATGCACACTATTTTGGGGGGCTTATGAACTCAGCAACCAAGGTTTGCTCAGGCGCACCTACAAGCGGGCGCAGCGGCCCTCTTGGAGGTGAGCGACTTAGAGCAGGAAGTCCGGCAGGAGCTCGAGAGCCTGAGCTACTTGGAAGTCGCGCCGCAGCCGAGATTCAGGTGGTTTAGGGTTTAGGGTTTAGTGTTTAGGGTTTAGGGTCTAGTGTTTAGGGTTCAGGGTTATTTTCTGATGTTTAACCCGAATTCCTTCACACAGTGACCTTATAAGGGTGGGGAGCCTGAGGTACAGGAGATGCAGAACACGGCCCACTTCGTGCAAGCTTTGTGGAACCAGTCCCTCAAAGACTTCCATGGCTGGCGCGACTTCCAGCCCCAGATCGTCGGCGCCCCTGCGCAGGAGACGCTTGTGAAAGCTCGTGCAAGCAGCAACTTGTCCTCGGCCTTGCTTGAGCTCCGCCATGACTTGTCAGATTGCAACAGCCCCTCCCCAACCCCCCACCCCTCCCAAAAAAGAGAGGCACTCGAAGCCAAACGCATGTAAACCCCCTAAACCCTAAACCCGAAACCCTAAACCCTAAACCCTAAACCCCAAACCCTAAACCCAAAACCCTAACCCGCAGCCCAAATCCCTGAACTTCGCGAAATCGATTCACTGCGCGGAAACCCGCAGGCTGCGTTGCGATCTGGGCTGGTCGAGGACCCGCCGGCGGACTGGGCCTCAGGGGTTTTACAAGGAGGGGCCCCTTTGCTATACCAACTATAATTAAAGGACTTATAACCTAAGTTAGGCTCCTTATAACCCAATTTAGGGCTCTTATAACTCTACTTATAACTAGGGGGCCCCTCCTTGTACAGTTTGAAAATAATTTCATACACTTACGAACAGGACGTGTACCTCAAATTTTGGTACATAATCAGGTACACAATTGACTAGTATGATTTTTTGTTTCAAGATTTAGGCTTCGGGGTTGAAGGGTTGAATGTTTCGGGTTCAGGGTTTAGGGTTAAGACGATTCGGTCTCAGATGGTTTAGGGATGTAGGGTTTAGTCGGGTCTCAGGCGGGTGAGGGGCCGAAAGCCAGCGCATCCTGAATTCTAAACCCTAACAGACCACACTGTGGGGGCCTCCTTTAATCAGTCGAGCTGGGGCCTAGCTACCTGATGAAACACAGACAAACTTCTCAAGCTGCGGGGTGATTGAAAGCCCCGTGACTGAGGCCAGGAACATCATGACCATCGAGGACTTCATCCACGAGTCGCGGCCCCTTGCCCAACGAGCCTACTCGCAACTCGCAGACTCGACGCGCGAGTCCAACCCCAACTTGGAGCCGAAGTTCGACCGGCGGAAGATTAACATCGCAGTGGTCGGGCAGCTGAAACCTAGTAGTAGAGTAGGTAACCTTTAACCTTTTTGGGGGTTATAGGGTTTAGGGTTTAGGTTTTAGGGTTTAGGGTTTAGGGAGGTTGCTGGACAACTAAGGAAGGCATGCAAGACGAGCCTGCTGAACATGCTCCTCATGAGCGAGCAGCCAGGCGTAAGGCTCAGGCAGCCTTTCAACCTGCTGCCTGTGGGCAACAATTCGAAGACCCACAGCTTGTGGCTATATCCCCCTTGGGAATTATTTTTTTATTTTTGTTCATAAAAAACCCAAGAGGATATTAAACGTAATATATGTTTGATAAGGTTCTAAGGGGGAGTAGAGGTGGCGCATCTCAGCCAACGACCGGAATGTCATCTCCGCAAGTGTCCGAAACAAGGCAGGGCAGAACTTGAGATCGGGGGCCGAACCCCCCCTGGACCTGGATGCACTGAGGAACATGCTGCCAGACCTCCAGAAGCTAGGCTTAGCTGAAAGAGGGTTTAGGGTTTAGGGTTTAGGGTTTAGGGTTTAGGGTTTAGGGTTTAGGGGCTGAGAAAACACCACCCACCGGTTTCTGATGCAGTCCATATCCAACTTGTGGAATTTCCTCTTCGCTTTCCCTGCAAAGAGCTTCAACCCCCACGCGTCCCTACTTTCAAGGCATGCGCTACTGCTACTTTTTGCTGCAGAACCCCCCCCCAAAAAAAATGTATATATATATATATATATATTAATAATAATAATAAATAATAATAATGATAATGATAATAATCATAATAATAATCATGATGATGATGATACAGATTCCTTATAAGGGCAATATAGGATCATCATTGTATATTTTTCGTGGGGTTCGTTTAGCAAGTCGTAGGTTTGTGTATCGTTTCATACCCTTTAAGAACAGGACGTGTGCCTTAATTGTTGGTACATGAAGTAGAGTTTATATTTCTTGTATCCCCAAAAGGACACCAAGTATATACACTCACCAAAGTTAAAAGGGAAACTTATATACACTCACCAATAACAGTAATATAAACCCTACTTCACATCCGTTCGAGAGATCTCAGGAAGCTGGCTTCCAAGCATGGCGCCTGCACCATCGTGACCTGGCAGCCCAGTGGTACCCTGTTACCCTTTCTTTTGGGGGGCTATATGGGCTTCCTTATAAAGTAGCCCTGAACCCTAAACCCTAAACCCTAAACCCTAAACCCTAAACCCTAAACCCTAAACCCTAAACCCTAAACCCTAAACCCTAAACCCTAAACCCTAAACCCTAAACCCTAAACCCTAAACCCAAGAAAGGGCGCCCTTATTGTAATAGGGATACTGGGCTGCCAAGGTGATCAAGCTGCCGAAGCTGTCCACCTTTCTGGACACTGACGGCGCGTCCCACACGTGGGAGAGGCGCGAACAAGCCGAAAGCCTGCCTTGGGGTTTAGGGTTTAGGGTTCAGGGTTTAGGCCTTAACCCCTAAACCCTAAACCCTAAACCCCAAGCCCCAAGCCCCAAACCCCAAACCCCCAAACCCCAAAACCCCCAGGCCCCAAACCCCAAACCCCAAACCCCAAGCCCCAAGCCCCAAGCCCCAAGCCCCAAGCCCCAAACCCCAAACCCCAAACCCAACCCTGAGGGTCTGGGGTTTAGGGTTTAGGGCTTAGGCCTAAACTCTAAACCCTACACCCTAAACCCTAAACCCTAAACCCCAAGCCCCAAGCCCGAAACCCCAAACCCCAAACCCCAAACCCTGAGGCCAGCCATCTTGGACTATGCCGACCTTTGGGACACGCCGGGGCTCGGGGACACCACCTCCGGCCTCGATTGCAACTCGGTCGACCCAGAGACTCCAAAACCCCTTCGTTAAGGAATATACATTAAATCATATTAGGGTTCCTATTATCATTTAAGGTCTAATTCGTTAATTGAGGGGTTTGGGAGTCTCTCGGTCGACCTCTTGGAGAGTGGTCTGAGGGTTTGCAGGGTTTGCTTAGGGTCTAGGGTTTTGGGGTTTTGGGGTTTTATTGTTTAGGGTTTAGGGGGGGGAGTGGGGGGAGCATGGGCTTAATTCCACTCTTCAAGCCCGCGGAGAAGACAGGTGATGCTGCGGTAGCCCGGCTCCTCGAAAATGAGGCGTGCGTGTTCCTGTGGTGCATGCCCTACAGCCAAGGTGGGGGGCTCCCGACCCAAATCTTACTTACCCGTCCACAATCCCTAAGATACACAAAGCCAACTCCCCGAAACCCTGCTGTGAACCAGCTCTGCTGTAAATCTGAAACCCTCAACCCTAAACGCTAAACCTTAAGCTTCCCGCAGTCCGTACCCCCCCTCCCCCCTCCCCCAAACCGCACACACCCCAAACCCTCAACCCTAAACCAAACCCTCAACCCTAAACCCTAAACCCCAAACCCCAAACCCTAAACCCTAAACCCCAAACCCCAAACCCTCAACGTCAGGAGCCCCGAGCACGGCGTGCTGTGACCTCATCTTCAGTCTGGCGGAGCGGGCCCCCGGGTGCATCCTGCCCGTGGTGACCAAGGTCTCCGAGGCTTGGAGAGTTTTTAAGGGGGTTTAGGGTGTAGGGTTTAGGGTTTAGGGTTTGGGGTTTAGGTTTGGGTTTGGGTTTGGGATGTTCCCCCTTATACTAACAGTCCTTAATAGGGATGATAGTAGCCCCTGTTTGAATCCCTATTGAGGACTGCTAGTACGCGGGGGACGCCCCAGGATTTTGGGGCTCAATCTGTAACGTTCAAACCGAGAACCAATTCCCTATGCGGTGCCTCTAGAACAGGGAAAGAGGCACCCAATTCCTTCTTTTCAAACCCTAAGAGTCCATGTACCTTATTATCATGTACTTGGGCCCCAAAGTCCTTATTTAGGAAGTACTTGTAAGGCCCAAGTATTCCCTATTTAGGTACATGGACCCTTAGGGAAAGGCAACTCTAGGCCGGCTTCTAAGGCCCTAAACCCTAAACCCTGAACCCTGAACCCTAAACCCTAAACCCTAATTGCTTTTCAGAGCTTTGGAGGTTGGAGGCGCTTTGTTTGCCCTTACCGGGGGTCTTTTCGGTTGGCGACACACTGCGGTGTGCGATGAAAGTACTATTGTTGAAACAGCCATGAGAACATGAGGGTTTAGGGTTTCGGGTTTAGGGCTAGAGGTTAGGGGTTTGGGCCCGTGTTGTGTTCAGGGGTGATGCCGAGCCGCGTGATGTGTGATTTTGCCAATGGCTTCGGGGCTCGTATTTATTTTGGCCCTAGAGCTACTACATCAGAAAGCCTGTAGAGACCGAGCATGCTCTACATAAGTCTTTTGGCCATTCAAGGATTGTTTGTTCTTAGCTGGCTAGGGCTGATGAAGTGTCAGGGTTTTGGGTTCAACCGGGGCTTCAGGGGTTTGTTTGATCTAGGGCTGTCCGGATTTGCGGTGCTGCTTTCCGGATTTTTGGGCCCGTCGCGCCCCGTCTCTTCGGTTAAGAAGGATCCCTTACCCTGTCAAGCAACAAGGAGGGGTACCCTTGCTCTTCTTGGGGTTCCTGTCGGTTTTCGAACCCTAACCCTAAACCCTCAACCCTAAACCCTAAACCCCAAGCCTATAAACCCTAAACCCTAAACCCTGACAGGCCGAGAAGACGGTTGCTGAAGGAGCTTGGCAACTTCCTCCCAGCTCCTGTGAGTTGCTACAGTCCTATGCCATACAGGCAAGCGAGGCGCCCCGGTCTTGCAGGGTTTAGGGCTTAGGGGTAAAGGGGGTTTAGGGTTTCGGGCTTAGGATTTAGGGTGGTGGTGCAGAGGTGGTGTTATACTCGAATTAGGGACTCAACCCTAAACCCTACTTGCGCAGTTATACTCTAGGCCGGGCTGGATGTGCATTTTAGCGACTAGCATCTCGAAGCAGGTCCGAAGTTGCTGGACCCCCAACCCCCCTCCCCCCAGCCCCCTCCCCCCACCCCCCTCCCCCCACCCCCCTCCCCCCACCCCCTCCCCCTCCGCTGAACTGGCGGGAGAAGCCACTGTACGGCCCTGCTGCCCAGGCGAAACATGCATTGGACCTTGCGGAAGCCGCCAATCAGTCAGCTGCCGCTGATCGAGCACGTGAAGATCAGGACGGGGTGGTGTGTTGGATTGTTGGTTAAAAACTGAGAGCTGGGGGGCAGGGGAGGGGGGGCTCAGTTTGAGAAGCGCCTGGCAAGTCTTATCCGCCCAAGGTCCCGAAGTCGTCAATTGACCAGCTTTACGACTCGGTTCGCCCCCTGGTGAATGTCAACAAGCCCTATGACCAGCACGTGCACCTGGACAACAAGCGGCGCAACTTAGAGGAAGCACTGCAACACTACCACTACGCCATGGACATCGACGACCTTTGCTCCAAGATCCGCCTGATGGTGCCGAATTCGGTCGTGGCCTTTGCAGGCTTAGGGCCATGTGCCCGCGCCACGGAGCAAGACCAAAACTTGCTCAAAGCCCTTACCAACGTGCTCAAGTCAGAGTTCAAGCAGAACTCAGAGGCCCTCCTAGGTAGGATAAGGGGGACCCTTAAACGGGAGCCCCTTCTTAACCCTCTTCTGGCTCGCTTAAACAGGGACCTTTTTCAGAGGGTCTATATCCCCAAGGGTCCCCCTAATCCTATCCCACTAGAGGCCTACCAAACCCTGGCGGAGCTCGCGCGGCTGGAGTCCACGGTGGCCTCCGCGCTTGCCAAGATCTACAATGTCGTCATGCCGCACGCCCTCCTCGACCAGGATCCCCACTAAATTTTGTGGTTTACGAAATTAGGGGTACCTTTTGGGGTCCTTAAAGCTTATAAGGGAATCCTACTACTATTTTGGGGTTAAACCCTAAACCCTAAACCCTAAACCCTAAACCCTAAACCCTGTCTCTCTTCGGGGTCCCTTATTTCCGTAAACCCCCCCCCCACATGATGCGTGAAAGTTCAAGCCAAAGAGCATGAAGAGCCGAGTACATCCAGGGTTTAGGGTTTAGGGTTTAGGGTTTAGGGTTTAGGGTTTACCAGAGAAACCTCTGCAAAAGTTTTGGAGGGTTTAAGGTTTAGGGTTTAGGGTTTAGGGTTTAGGAATTTAAGTCTCCAGGCGACGGCCATCAAGCATGTCATTGATGACGCCTGCGCTGAGTACGAGCGGGAGCGCACGAGAATCTTCGAGGACGCGGAGGGGTGAGACACGCGAAGCCCGTTGTCCAAGGTAAGCTCCAGGCCATCCTGACAAAGGCAGAAAACCAAGCTCTTAGGTTTATCCTAGGTAGGATGCGGGGGACCCTTAAAGGGTTTGGGGTTTAGGGTTTAGGGTTAAGGTGTAAATTTAGTAGCTGAATGAGTACACTTTGCACTTTTGGGGGTACTATAATCCCTATCGAACTGAAAGTTTCCACGTTTTTATGGGGCTTATGAACTCAGCAACTAAGAATTCTGCCAAACCCCCCAAAACTATCTGGTATAGGTTTTAGGGTTCATAGCTAATAGACCCTAATACCCCACAAACCCTATAAGCCCTAAACCCTGAAGCCTGAAGCCTGTGAACCCTACAAGCCCGAAGCCCTAGTGTGAGAAGCGAAAGGACCTGGAGGCAGGCCTTGTGGGGGTGATCCAGCAGGCGCATAGCCAGGTGATCGCCGAGCAGGGGTTCAAGGACTCGACAGGGGTCAGGGTTTTGGGTTTTAGGGTTTAGGGTTTCGGGTTTAGGGTTTCGGGTCTAGGGTTTAGGGTCTAGGGTCAAGGGCTGGGCTTATAGGCTGTTGATAGGTTGTGGGGTTTAGGGTTTCGGCCCTCTATGGGGCAGGTTGGAGCGTGCTCTTGGTCTGGATTTTTGTCGGGGACATCTGGGGTTTTCGATACTAGGGGTACCTTACATATTGGGCCCCTTTTTTGTCAGGCATTGCGGTATTAGGGTTTAAGGTATTAGGATTTAGGGTTTTAGGGTCCAGGGTACTACGGGTGTAGGATTCAGGGTAAGTTGGGGTTACCTTTTTTGGAGGCCCGTTTATAAGGGGATCCCCTACTATTTGGGAGTCTATATTCGGAGTCCCTTTTGTGCATACACCCCCACATAGGCTTCGCTAGCCCTAAACCCTTTCTTTGTCAACCCCCTCTCAACACACAAAAAAACAAGGAGTTTCTCGAGGGCCGCCCGGCCTACCTCCAAAAGCTACTGGACGCCTCCATGGCCAAGCTCCGCCACTACGCCGACCGTGAGGCGATTGTGCTTAGAGCAGATGGGGTTTAGGGTTTCGGGTTTAGGGTTTCAGGCTGTGCTTAGAGCATGTGGCCATTATTTTGGTGGTCTGGAACCGGGGTCCCTGACTATCGTAAACTGCCATAGGGCTCTAAGGAAGTATCCCATGTGGGATTTGGGTTCCAGTTTCAGGTTTGTGGGCAAACCCTAAATCCTAATTCCGAAACATGGGGCTTTGGGCTGTTTAGGGCTCAGGATTTTGGATGGTAGTGAATAGCCAGGGACACCGTTGCAGAAATGACCATTCTGTTCGTGACCTACTACCCCCCTCTATACTACACCCCCTCCCCTAGGTTCCCCCTCAAATAGCCTCAATTAGGCTCTAGTTTCCTAAAAATAGCCCAAATTATTGGGGGAACTTAGAGGGGGTAGTGCAGGACCCGAAACCCTAAACCCTAAACCTAGGGGGGGACAGCAGGGAAACCCATGATCCTTGGGCGCCTGAACAGCAAAAAAATTCGCTAACCCCCCCCCCCCCCCCCCCCCCCCCCCCAAACCCTAAACCCTAAACCCAGCTAATGAGAAAGCCTTGAGGTCCCTAAACCCGGAACCCTGTGCAGATAATCCACGAAGGCCCCTTGCCTACTGCTTCTGGAAACCCTAAACCCTAAACTTGGGCGGGGGAACTACTAGTAGCTTTGGCTCCTGGCAGGTCACCCTGCAGAACAACCTGCTGGGCCAGGTGCCGGCGACCTTGGGGCCGTATGGTCTGGGGTTAGGGGTTTGGGGTCTAGGGTTCGGGTTGAGGGTTTGGGGTTTAGGGTTTAGGGTCCAGGTGATCCCTTTTCCTAGCACCATGGGGTCTCACCCGGCTGAATCACCGCGTGTTACCTCCTTCAATTTTCCAGGCTGCTGCGGAACCTAGTCGGGCTCCTGTTTTAGGGCATTTAGGCGTCTAGGACATTGATAAGGAAGGGTGGGACTAAACCCCTAAGCCCTAAGACCTTGAACCCAAAAACAACTGTCAATATCCGTATAAACCATGAAACCTACCCCCAAACCCTAACTAAACTCCTAAAACCCTTAAAAGCCCTACAGGCCCTAAAAGCCCTCCAACCCCAAAAAGCCCTAAAACCCCATAACTTGGGATGGGTCCCCTTTTACTAACAGTCCTTAGTAGGGATGATAATTGCGGGTGCTGTAATCCCTATTAAGGACTCTTAGTATAAGGGGGAGCATCCCAACCCAAAAACCCTCGAGCCAGTAAACTGGCCCAAGCATCTCTTCTGTCTCACCAGGTGGCTGCAGAGACCTGTCGCTGGCTCCGCCAGCACTTTCCAGGGCAGCATGGATGCCTGGGGAAAAACGTTGAGGCGGGGTTGGGTTTCAGGGCCTAGGTTTTGTTTTGTTTTTTCTTATCTTTTTTTTTTTAGGGGGAGGGGGGGGGGGAGGGGGGGGACAACCCAACCCCCTAAATCCGAATCCCCTAAAACCCTAAACCCTAAACCCGAAACCCCTAGAATGTCCTGAAAGCCAAAACACCTAGACCGCTTCGTGACGCCAAGCTTCGCGAGGTCACGGTGAGCAAGGCGGAGCTGGAACTCCTCGTGTCCAGCCTCGGCACCACCAGGAGAACGGAACGTGTTTTTTTCGATGTTTTTTTGTTTTGTTTTTTTGTTTTTTTTTGTTTTTCTTTTCAAAAGAAATATTTCTTCTTCTTATTCTTCTTCTTCTTTTTTTTGTGTTTGTTGTGTTTTCTTATCCTTATTTCTTTTTTTTTGAGTGGGGGGTAGGGGGGTTGTTGGGGTTAGGGTTTCGGGTTTAGGGTTTCGGGGGTTTAGGGTTTCAGGGTGCAGGGTTAAGGGCACGGGTTCAAGGGTTCAAGGGTTCAAGGTTCCAGGGTTCAAAGGTTCTAGTGTTCAAGGGTTCAAGGGCTCAGGGGCTGAGAGTTTAGGGCTGAGGGCTTCAACAGTCGAACCCGAAACCCTAAACCCTAAGCCTCTACACCCTAAGCCCTCAACCCGAAACCCAACCCCCACCACCCCCCTCGCGGCCCGAAACCCTAAACCCTAAACCCTAAACCCTAAACCCTAAACCCTAAACCCTAAGCCCTAAACCCTAAACCCTAAACCCGAAATCAGAAGGGCCCTGCAGGAACTACGACGACCTGGAGCTGAAGATGGACCTGGCTCCCGGACTGTTTGGGGTAGAGGGTTTGGCTTGGAGTTTGGGGTTGGGGGTTTAGGGTTTAGGGTTTAGGGATAGGGTTTGGGGTTAGGGGTTAGAGTTTAGGTAGGGATTTCACGGGCATAATATTGACAGTTATGTAGTTTTTGGTTCCCGCAGTAGCCCGTTAAAGCCTTCAAGAAGTTCTACCATTACTTTCCCCAAGCCTTAAACCAATATAACGCCTAGACCCCAGGCCCAAACCCTAAACCCTAAACCCTAAACCCTAAACCCTAAACCCTAAACCCTAAACCCTAAACCCTAAACCCTAAACCCTAACATGTTTTCTTTAGCAGGTTCTGGGCGGCCAGAAGCTCCCGGAATACAGCATCCTACGCCTCTACCAGACGCCAGGTTGGGAGCAAAGAGCTTCGGGTTTCGGGTTTAGGGTTTGGGGTTTAGGGTTTAGGGTTTAGGGTTTGGGGTTTAGGGTTTCGGGTTTAGGGTTTAGGGTTTAGGGCTTTAGGGGTTTTAGGGCTTTAGGGGTTTTAGGGCTTTAGGGGTTTAGGGTTTGGGGTTTGGGGTTAAGAGAAAGGGTTTGGGGTTTTGGCCTTAGGGCCCGGAACCTTGAACCTTTTCCAGGATTTTCATCGGCTTGCTCAGAAGTATCTAGTCATTTGTCGTGCCAGTGCGCTGGGAGGTCAGGCGGGTTTATGGGGCTTAGGGGCAGCAAGGCCCCTAACCCCGCAACCTTCAACCCCTCAGCCCCTAGGACCCTGAACCCTAGGATTTAGGGTTCCTAAACCCTAAACCCTAAACCCTAAACCCTAGACCCTAAACCCTAAACCCTAAACCCCAGACCCTAGGGCAGAATTGGGGCACCAGATCTAGAGTCCAGCGCAGGGGAGGATGCTCGAATTTTACATGGCCGAAATCATTTGGAGCAGCTTGCGCAGCTTTGGAATCTATATCGCCCTTGGGGAATTGTTTTGCATTTTTGTTTGTATAAAACCGATAAAAGATATTATGTTTTTTGATTAAGGTTCTAAGGGGAGTATAGGAATTGGTCCACCCATCCTGAAATGCGACTTCACATCGACACGTGGATGGCGCAGGATGTGGGCGACCCTTGGCTGGCTTACATACTATGTGCTTAAGAACCCCCCCCCCAAATATTCTTCCTCGTAAGGGCAACATAGGGATTATCATCTTTGTTTTTTTTTTTTTTTTTGGGGGGGGGGGTTCTTAAGCAGATGGTGGGTTTGGGGCTTGTTTACATCGAGTATGAGAAGTGTGGCCAGGCGCATACGATCTCAACATATGTGGTATATGCGGTACATACGATGCGCACGTTGTGTGGCGGTCTGCCCACGATATCAGGCCCTAAGTGGGGACAAACGGTCCCCCTCCCGAGCTATCCTTTGCCCCTAAATCCCCTCAGCCTCACCACTATGCCTTAATATCCCACCCTAAACCCCAAGCCCCAAACCCAAAAAAGCCAAGCTCTAATTCACAACAGAAACTCCCTAAAGCGCGCGTCAATGTCACGAAGAAACCCTAGAATTAATCCTCAAAGCCCTAATGCCCTAAGCCCACAAAATCCGGAAGACCCTGCACACCCTCAACACCCCAAAACGCCGAAAATACCTAAACATTGGGATGTTCCCCCTTACGCTAGCAGTGCTGAATAGGGATTATAGTACCCACTAGAACAAAGCCCTAAACTCGACCC